GAAATATCCATTCCCGCCTGTTTTCAAAGTGTTTTGAGACAAAAGGGTGCTGCTTAAGAAAGTATGCCAACAACATGAGAAGAATCAGTTGTAAAGCTGAACTAAGGAAGAGTGACCCAAGAGGAAGCAGAACATGCACACCCTTCAGCACGCTGCTCTCTGAGCAGTTATAAGGGTTAGTAAGAGACATAGATAGGTAAGACTTAGCCTACATCTTCCCTTTATTTTCATCTGAAGCGAGTTCTCTGACATTCTTTTGTAAAAGCTAAATGAGGCACAGGGTGAGGGGAACATCACAAAGCAAAACTATGTCCCTCCCAAATAAGCTCAGTACTAAAGCTGAGCAAAGCATCCACATCTACTCCCAATCTGAGCCAGTACTGGGGACTAAAACATAACTTCACTCTCCAAAAAAAATGTTCAGTAATAGGAGCTAAAGCTTAACTAGAAGCAACGCTCCCAGGGCTCTTATTCAGGCTGGGGTCACTGCAAAAGCATGGATTGTTCTGTTTGTGGGAGTGGGTGGGAACATGTTTTTATCAGATTTTTTTCTGCCAGCAGAAGCAAGGCAGAAAGGCAAGTCCTTCTGTTCAGTTTGTCCCTGGCTTCACAAGTGATGACATACGGGTAACAGTGTTTTAATGGCACCTCTCACCCCATGACCCCAAAGTGCTTTCACTTCCCTTAATGAACTCTGCTTCACAGCAGCTTGACAGCTCCATTATACATGGGAACTAAGAGACAAAATAATTCATCTATGCCATGCAACAGCACAAAGTCAGCTCCTACCAGCCCAATGATTTATGCAATAGACCACACTTGGTTTTGTACAGCATCTTGCCACAGAGCACGCTGTCACTGGGGAGGTGACACACTTCTCTGACCCCATCACCTGCTCAGACACTGTTGCAGACACCATCTCATAGGTGCTTTCTATCCCCAGCCCTGCAAAATGCCAAGTCAACAGTGGCTCAAGGCACTCCTCACCTCAGAGGCTCAAGACCTACACTGTTGTTTAGAACTTCACCCTTCCTACCCATTACCTTTGAGCAAGAAAAGTTTTAATTCTCTGAGAAGTGAACCTGAGAAGCACATTACAAACGAACCAAAAAAAACCCCAAACCATCAGACATGGGAACATCACCTTTCCCAACACTTAGAACCTGGATCACCTTCTGGATGATAGGACTTTCATATTGCTGCAACATGGTTATTGCTTGTGTACATGCACAATCCTCTGCTATAAGACAAGGTTCTTCCAGGGAACATGTGCATTATGGACTAAGTTAAAGAACAACATGAAAAGACAACGTGCTAAATGCAAAATAAAAAAAAATAAAAATTACTGCCTTGGTACCAACAGATAGCATGCTGATTCCCTGTGCCACCACTTCAAAGGACAAAGCACTCAAATCCTAACAGTAAGGGACCAGTGTTCTATTAAAGCAAAGTTTCACCCCAAGATAGGCCAAGCTGAAATTGTCTTGGCACACATTACACAAACGAGATGCTACAGGACTCTTGCATGGGAGAATTATTTTGTTTTGAATTCTATGTTTTCTGGCAACAGAGCATTGCACAAGATAGGGATAAGGGTGAGGAGACAAAAGGGCTTAAGGTCCTAAAGCTTCTCCAGGGAATTACTTGACTTAGTGACTTGAATTTTGCTGAACCCACATCAGTGCCCTCATAACTTTTTAACGACTTTTATCTTAAAAAATTTAAACATGCATTTCCAGAAGAGAATCATGCTGTTGCCAAGTGAAAACAAGTATTATTAAATACATCTTGCATCAATCAACTCACCCTACCAGCTGGCATCTTATATACAAGGAACTCCGGACAAGTCCCGCACTTCAACCAAACTACCTGTCATTAATTCTGCAGTTCTTTGTTCCCAGAAGACTTCAATTTATAGGTCATACTTTTACTTCCCTTTAATGAGAACAAACGAGAATTTACTCTTCCCTTTCTCTTACAAGCTCAGTCATGCATTTTCCCCTTATTGTTTAATTAAAGCTATTTCAACCGCTGAGAACCTTGTGCCTATGTTTTCTGAGGCAGCCTAATGACTAAAATAACTGTAAAGACAGAAGGTGGAAGAGAGCCTTCAGAGGCTAGATGTTTCAATAAATTTGAACAGAAAAATATCAAGCTATTCCCATGCTTTCTCTACAATTTTACAAGTCAAAGTATAAAATAAAGATGTGGGCTGGCACCTAAACAGAGAATCATGGAATGGTTTGGGTTGGAAGGGACCCTAAAGATCACCTAGTTGCAACCACTCTGCACGGGCAGGAATACCTCCCACTAGACCAGGCTGCTCAAAGCCTCACATTAACATGTTAGTATTCTGGTTCATTCCTCCAGTTTCATTATTTCCCTACCCACTCCTTCCCCTGCTTTAATATAGCAAATTTGTTTAAAGTTAAACAGAACTTTCCTACTCTAAATTCAGACTAGAAAAACTCCTTAGGCAGATGCTCTACTGATGATTTGTACTAATCTTTCCAGTCTCCTGGTTTCTAGGTAGATTTGCTGTCCTCCAATGCCAATATTCCTCTTGGCCCTCACATTTTCTATTTCAAGATTTTATTAGACAAGGAGTCAATAGGAAAACAGAGACTCTCTTCAAGCTCTGTCCACTGAGCGGATAAAAAGAAGGAGCTCTGGTCCATGACCAGCTCCATGACACAAAATAGAAAAAAGTTAAATGAACAGCTAGAAGGGGAATCCCTGTTTTAAAAAGATAAAATGCTATCAAGGAATGAAGAGAAAATTGAGTTTATTGCAAATTAGCAGATCTTGGATAAACAGCATTTAAACCTAGCTAATGATAGAATGAACTGAGAGAAAAAGTTGGTTCTTTCTAACAAGTAAATACTAGAGCAGTTACTCTACAAACCTAGGGACCTTTAGTGGTCTTGAACTCGCGTAACTATTCAGTCATGACTATTGCAGCCAGTATTTCAGAGGTAGCAAATATGTAGTAATAAAAACTTCCACTTTCAGGACATAATCTGCTGCCAGCTTCAGGACAAAGTTCACTGCTCTCAGTGCCTGATGTTACAGATCTCAAATACATCTGCATTTTTTGTACTGCAGGGTATGCATCTCTACCATTGACTTTTCCAAGTATAACTCTTGAAATCCTATGCATACTGTGCCTTACATATCTATTTATAGTAAAAAAAGTATATGACGATATTCAAAGAAGGGTTTTGGGATTTATTTTTTTTTAATTGCCCATACTAATTAACAGAATGTAAACAATTCCTTGTTCTTCTTTTGTCACTAACTTTCTTTCTTTCTGTATGATGCTACCAGTTTATCTCTAACACACACCATAGACTCCATGAGCAATCTCAAAGCAGAGCTTACCTATTTGCTATGCTGCTTCCATAGCCTAGAGGATTAAACCTAATAACCCCTACAACTCATCCCCGCTGCCTGAGACAACAGCTCCAAAACAATGCCAGACAATTTAAGGGATCAAAATGCTCATATATTATCTTGTGTGTCACATCCCATGAACCCAATTCCTGCTTTGTCAGCTTTCAAAACAATGAAGTTTGCATTCATGCCTCCCTTTCCTGTTCCTTGTTCTGAGGATGTATTTATTCTCTTTTCTCTCTCCACTTACCCTGCAAGTTTACTTTCTGCCTTCTAGCACATGCCTACACTACTTTTCTCATCCCTCAACCTCATCCCCTACCTATTTTTACAAACAAAATCCTTTTGTAATTTCCATTTGTTTCACACATGCGACCCCATCTCTCGCTCTCCCCTTGAACATAATCACATCCTGGCTACCCAGCCACAGATGCCACCCTGCACATCCTTCCAGCCAAGCACAGAAGCAGCAGCTCTAGGCAACTCTTCCTCTACTTCTGCTTCTCCTTGACTCAAGAGAAAGTAGAAGTAGCACCCAGGAACCACCTGCCCCTTGGGGAAAATACAAAAAAGCCTGAAACCATCAAATTCCATTATAGACAGCAAGCAGATGCACTGCCTAAGCCACCACGTGCTCAACTCCCAGCTACTTTTTCCCTAATGTAGGGAAGCTGCCTGGCATTTCACAAGCTTGCTTGCTCTCTATGCAGCCAGTAGATCAGACCTTTACCCCCACACCTCACCCTTCCCTGCCTCAGCCATACAGGCCTCTCAATAGTCAAGTAGTAGCTGGGGGACGGGAGGTAAGGTTCTGATGACAGTACAGAAAGTAGAGCTCAGTTTCTCCCCAGACCAACACACGTCGGAGCCACATTTAGCACGTTCCTGCTTCAGCCTGATATAATCAGCACCAATCCCTGCAGGTTTCCCCAAGTCTGTCCCACTCCAGTGTCTTTCTCAGCAGCTTCCAACTGCAGCCATTTAGCTGCTAAGCATTTTGCTTGAAGAAGAAAACGCAGATTCAGGAAGTCCACACTGTAGTTTGAAATAACTACAGCTACTGATAGGAAAGAGCAGGGCTCTGAATGGTCATTTATAACAAGAGGAGAACAGAACTAGAGTTTTGCTATAGCTTTTCCTGGATTGAAGAACATGTGCAGCCGTTGATGTGAAGAAACACATTTTTGCCATTGATTCACACGGCTGACATGCAACTCAAGACATAGACCAGTGTCAGCCAAGTGCATATGCTTAAGTTGTTATTAATAGCAAGAAAGCAATGCAATCAGTATGTGCTCTCCAACGGCCAGCACGAGCTTATAAGGCAGAAAGTTCTCACCTGTCTGGCCACCCTTCGAGCTTCCCAGTAAGGTTTAGAGTCTTCTACAGCTTTTCCGATCTTCTTTACCAGTTCATCCAGTTTTACTGTTGCTTCAACCAGCACGGAGCGGAACTTCTGGCGTGCATCCTTCAAAACATTGCAGAAAGGAAAGAAGGGACAAAAAAGGGTTAGAGCTTTGGAATTTATTTCTACCTGTTTGTTCTTGCCTTCAGGTTGCTCTTTAGATTCACACATGAACTGACACATTCAAAACAGTTACTGGCATTTGGACTAAACCAGAATTCTTTAGTAGAGGTAATAATAGGAACCCAGAACCACATCAGAAAGCTAGCATCCTGGACACCAACTTTTTGTCTTTCAGAGACAGCTTTCATACAAAGCCTGCAACAGCCTGTGCTAGATGTCACCTCTGGCAGGATTTCTCAGAGAGGAATAGCTTGTAAATTGCTCACTCAGTAAGAAAGCAAACAGCAGCATGACAACTTCTGAGAGGCAGTTCAATGGCAAAAACATCTCATCTAGACAACGCTAGAATGGGGCTAGCAGGCAGGCCAAATCCCCAGAGCAGGCTGGCAAATCAGCTGGAGTCAGCAACTTCAAAACCTTAGCATATCACACCCCTAGTACTGTTCCATCTCACAGTGCAGACAAGGATGGACAGCATCTGCTTTCTGCAGGAAGAAATGGACAGTTCCCACATGGCATATTTTCAAGTCAGCTGCTCCTTCCTTTTGTAAACACACCTACTCACTTTAACAGCTTCCAGGTCCTTGTGGCAAGACTTCCTGCCATAAAAGCACATCTTTTCAGCTATGGTTTGTATCAACGGGTAAGGATGCCTACTTCCCATTTGATTGTTACTATTTACTACATTTAAGAAAAGTAAATTCCAGCCACTTCAAAACTGGATGAGCTGTCCTCTTTACATGATTAGCTGAAGCATTTAAAATACTTTCTCTGCTGCACTGAAATTTCCATATCTCTTACCAAAGTGATTCCGATTTTGATCTCAGCATCCAACACAGACTCTAAATCAATGGAATTATTGCAGAGTGATGCAAATTCAGGCTGGGACCTGGCCCAGGATTTAAGGAGACGAAGAAGGGCCATGTGAGCTCTTGACAAGTCTTGTAGTTCTAATTAGAGAGCAGGATTTATGCAGACTGCTGGAGTGACGTGCTGATTATCAGGAAGCAGCTGGCTTGAAGAAGTGCTCTTAATTCAGGACGTTTTTGTCATTAGTGTTGAGGATTTCTCGAATGCACACCTGTTTATTCACTGGAAGAACTAAACATTGGAACTAATGGTCCACTATGGTCTCAGAAGTGGAAAAAACTGCAATAACACATCCGTTCTTTATAGAAAAAGCAACACACTTCACTAAATGCTTCTTTGCTTCCTTTTTAGTGTTACCTCAAATGGTAACCAACAGTAATACTCTAGTCCAATGTAAATAGCTTCAGACTCTTAAGGTACTCCAATTTATTCCAAGGAAGTATTCAAATGGGTAACAAGGTAAAAAATTGATAATTAAATGAACATTAACTATATTTTATTAACTCCAACCCAGTCAATAATCTCATTTCTTAGTGAAAGCCTGAAATGTATCATTCAAACAATATGTATTGAGGTAATGGTTTTCTCAGTGAGAAGAGTTTGAATATTTTCACTTGAAGAACTGGGAAATATATGGTTCACTGGTCAAAATGAGTTTCGTAAGTAACTTAAATCAGATTGCAAACACAATGACTAAACTGCAAGAAAACCATTAAGTACTGAAGTATATTTAACAAAAACATTTTTCCTACAAGTGCAGGAAGAAAATTAAAAACTCATTTCTAAATGAGTAGGCCTGAAGGTTTGCTTTTCATTTTCTTTGTGAAAACTGCATATTAGGATATTGTTGTGGAAAGTTAAAGACAAACAAAAATGTATATGCATTAAATAAAGTCCTATGCATTAATTCATAAAAAAATTCCATTCCCACATGTGTAAGATAAGCACTTGGAACAAGGAAACCATCACTACCAAATCTTTACTTGGAGAGCTACCTCAATTTTTTTCATGTAATACATACGTGCACTCTTACCCAGTAGGAAAATGAGGACTACTCTCCACATGCAGTTTAAAAAAGAAAAAACAAACCAAAACACACCAAGGATAAAATGGTCAAACTAAGAGCAACTTCTGTACCCATTAACCTCCCACCAACTCAGAAGGACATACAAATTACTAAACTGTAACTAATCCTGCAACTGACACCTGAGGCACAGGCCTTGCCAAATGGCTGAGCACATTTTTACCCAAGAGTACAGCCCGACTTGACCCAGTAGCTAGTTACACAGAATGTGGAGCTTCAGCTGAAGACTGTACTGGTGTGAAATTCCGGTTTATAGTTTTCCCCAAAAGAGGCCTGCTTCCTGTTTTGAGGCTGTATTTGGGTCTGGCCATCCTAAATTTTTCCAGTGAAAACGAAAATGAAACTCAAAACACTCCAGAACTCTATACCCATGTCATCTATCGCGACTTATTTTAAATTACATTTATTCTCAGGCTCCTCTGACTGACAGGAACACAAGCCTGCGGGTTCCACCACCTTCTGCATGAGAGAACAAGCAGATGCTCACACTCTGCTGGGATCAGACCCCTTACCAAAGGTTTCCCTTTGGACACAGCAACAAGATACTGTGGTCTCTGAGAAGGTGTTATGTCAAACCCTTGTCCTCTTCTGCACTACACACCCATTTTTACTACACACCACTTTTACTCTCCACTAGCCCCAACTACACTACAAAAACAAACAAACCCACATTGTGTATCTACACTGTGTGTGCTCCTGTGGCAACCCAAAGCATTGGCACCTCCCAGCCTCCTCCATCCAGACCGATGCAGCTCTCAATGTCTCGGTGATCACCGGGAACTGTGGCAACATCTACCAAGAACAGGGGCATGGATCTCTCCAGCTGCACGCAGCATCTTCGCCCTGCCACATGCTGTCAGAACATCTGTAAAACTCATCACCCTTTGGACAGCACAAAATTCCCCTGACAGGTGCCCCTGGGGATGTTTAAATAAGAAATACAGATGTAGTAGCTATTTTTACTCTGCACGTGGAACTGGGGAGGTCAGAAGCACCAAGGCAACCGCACCAGAAGCCTTGGTGCACTTACTACCTACATGATGTGAAAAGTGCATTGGTGGTTCATGGAAGGGATGGGCATATGGTCAGGGCAATACCTTAGGAATCAATTTAATTCCCTGTTCTATGTCCAGCTTTCTGTGTTACTGTCAGTGAGACACTGACACATGCGTGAAGTGGTTCAAAGCTATAAATACTCTTAATAGTGTTTTCTGCAAGAACACTCAAGTCAAAAACTTAAGAGGCCCAGGAACAGCACAGCAGCCCAGTTCAATGGTCCCCAGCAGGAGCAAAGCTTTACATCTATTAGGAAGACGATCACATCACCTTCAACTTATAAAATCCTCTGGTGTGATGTACCTACCTACAAGTGCTACTACTTAACTGTCAAAACTCTCGCTTCATTCAGATCTTTATCTAGCACACACAGATAACAGAGAACACGAAAGATGGCAATTCCTGCAATTTGCTGCTGTGAGCAAAACCAACACAGCACAGGCCATGCAATTTTTCTAGCTCAGTCTTCAGTTCCTGGTTTCTGTATTTCAGTTCCTTGAAGGATGATGAGAAATGCTAGTTTTTGATAAAAGCAACAACAGAGCCTTAGGTACAAACTCTGTGAGTCACACTCAGGTTTTTTAGGGATTTTTTTTATTTTTCAAAAAAACCCACATGGGTTTATTTTTCTCATCACTGCACTGAATACATACACAGACCAGATAAATTGTAACAGAAGCAACAACTACAAAATACATCTCAAACACTCAGACAACATTTCAAAAGCACATTTTCCCCTCTACTCGCTCATAAACTTCTGCGACTGCTTCTAAGAACACCTTGGTACTGATTTAGCAAACAGGAAGACAATACTGAAAGCTGACTCGCTAACATTTCCAATGTTTTCTCCCTCCTATTTGCTCAAATGGGATGATGATAAACCTTTTTATAGATGGACAAAATTCCATTAGGGCACTTACCCTCAATGTGTATAACAAGGTGAAAAAAAAAAAAAAAAAAGGAACAGCTGAAACTTCTCACTTAAGTTCCAGTCATAGTAACTAGACTCTCACTAGCTAGGGAGGTTTGTCGTACATGTGTTCTAGCAGACATAGCACTTGGTGCACCACTTCCAACAGCACCAGTTTACTTCTCAACATCTTGTTCTACGGCTGCAAGAGCTCCACTCTCATCAGCTTTCTTCTTGGAAATCCTTAGCACATTGCTCCCAAATGTCATATTTCACAAGGACATTTTTAGGGAGCATGCCAGACTTCTACCCTATATATGCTTTCGCTGCAATAGGTGATTATTAAAAGTCAACTTTATTTCCAGTAACTTGCTGTTGGGCAGCTATTTGCTACTGCATCAAGAGGGACCACACTTGACACCAGGCCATTCATACAGCAATGTTTGGAGACCCATCCTCAAATGTAGAAAAAACTCAAATACAATTTTACAGGTACACTGCACCCGTTGGAGAATAAAGCATGCTTGTTTTTCTTTTTCATAAGTAATGGTGATGAGCTGGTGTTAGATGCCAGATGCCAGGCAAATAACTATTTCTGCCCCTCAAATGAAGCATACATTTTCAAACAATTTTCTTTCTTGAATGAACTTAACACATCAACTAGCTATGAAACATCTTAATACCAAGCACATCTAAATTTCATTTACAAAGGTTGTCCTACGACCTTGCTGATAATTTGCTGTGCAGAACCTCTGACAACCCATTAAACCAACCTGGGAGGGGGATGGGAAATGAAATTGCTGACTGAGAGACAGGCTTCATCTATTTCCAAGTGGCAGGTGGTATCCATACCTGCCACCTCCTCCTGCAGAGACCTATCAGCTGCAAAATCTCATTTCCAAGTTAAGATCACATCAGTAGCAATAATGTCCAAGTATGAAAGTAGATAGGCTTCCTAATTACATACACATGAGACAGATGCACATGCATGTGCTCAGAAATCTACATCAGAGGATCGAA